ATAGTTAAACAGTGGTCATACCAGCAATATATCCAGCAACGAATGTAACAACCAATTGTTCAGACTTGGAGCAATCTGCACGTTTCTTAGGTACAACATATTGGTACAAAAGTTCGACAGTCTTCTCGAAGCAAGCGAACTTCATCATAGTGTATGGAATTTGTCTCATCCAGAGAGGAGGAAGTCCCTTGAACGTTAAAATAAGGATTGCTTACATGTGGCATAGTTACCTTGAAGAATCCCGTAAGTCCTTCGGTTCTGTAGATCAATGGTGCACAACCTCTGAGAGTTGGTGGAGCTCCAACAGCGGTTTGAACGCGGACCTTAGTAGCCTCCATAGGAGCGAGAAGGATATCAGCGAAGAATTCTGCGGAAGCAGAAGCAGCCAAGTAAAGAGCAGTACGGTAAAGGTAAGCATTCTCTTCTCCAATAGCGTCAGCATAGACGTTCTTGAAAACTTCATAGAATCCGAACTTTCCGAGTCCTTGCATAGAATATCCAACTAAAGTTGGAGCCCATCCCTTAGCAAGAGCGCGAACTCCTTCCTCAGCAACTGTGACTCTGAATCCGGAAACAATACCCTTGTACTTCTCGGGGTTAACCTAAACTGGCAACATTATTCATGACTTATAGTTGTAGATCACCTGGATACGACATTTGACCAAGTCAAGAGGTACAATGGCGGTGTGAGTAATACCACAGGAAAGAACTCCTCCGAAAGCGCAGAAAGCGTAGTACTTTCCGGATCCGAACTCAACTGGTGCAGCTAAAATTCACTATACAATAATCTTGAAAAATAAAAACAGGAAAGGTATTTCTCATAAAGGGAGTTTCGCTAGAAATACGTCAGAGACGAAAGTTTCGAGAATATCTACAAGCTGACTCATTAAACAGAACATTGTAAGCAACTACTATTGATTCAGATTTAGAATATGAAGATGAGCAAAATAGTAACGATTATGATATAGAATTAAATTTCAAGAATTACCGTTACATGCAGGTGCAGATCCTCCGCAAGCTGCGGATCTCACGGGAAGGGAGAAGGGATTAGTTTTAGCGGAGTCAGTTAATTGACTGAAGACGCCCATTATTACCTTAAATATAATGTTAATATACTAAATATAACAAAAAAGTAATAAAAAGAATTCAGATCTATAGAGCTTCAAAGGTTTCATGAAAATTTCTCTACGAACTTCAAATGAAAGGCGGTTCGGTTATATTACAGTAGGATCCATTCTCATCGAAGATAAACATGAGCATCTAAAAGTCTGGCACCTCGCCAACAAAAATTCTAGGTTGTGAAAATGTTCAACCAAGTCGTTTATCCGACGAAATCGAATAATTGAATAGTGTTGTAGTTCGTTATCTTAGTATCTTCCAAATTTAAAACTTATAGTCACAAGTTTATAAGAAATGGCGGACACAGAATTGAAGAAGGTTTGAAAT